ATTACGTGGTGAATCCTCGAAGGTGGTCTTGTCTGCACTGCTGTCGCGCATCCTGGTCTGGTTGTTGCCATCTGCACGGATACCAGCACCGCCCAACTCGATGAGATCTACGATGTCGGACTCCGGCTGGTGCACGGTGTAAGTTGCCGGGATGGAGTTGGGCATGGTGCTGCCAGCAGACTGAAGCAGGGTCGGCAAGTTGGAGAAGTCATAGATACCAAAGTAGCCTGCCGTGGAGCCCTGCAGCACACGATGGCCACCCCTAGGGTCGGGCGACACGTGCTCCGTCTTGGCACCAGAAGCATCCTTGCCATTGGAGTTCCAAAAGCACCAGCCTGCTGGAGCGCCCTGAGGGGCATCCTGGAATTCCCAGCTTCCGTCGTGTTCGAAGCCCTGCACCACCCCACGAGTTGCTTGCCAGCGCAGCTTGTAGAAGGCGCCAGTCACGTTGTCACCAGGAGAAGCGGTCTTGTGCCATGCATCGCGAGTGGTGACGGCGTTGCAGTCGACTGCGAAGCCGTAAAGTGCTCCGTACTCGAAGCCATTCCTTGCCAGGAAATCCGTGGTGTCCGCGTTGCCGTCCTTGTCTGTGTTCTTCTTGCCAATATACAGCTTTGTGGGAACGACGTCGCGCGGCCACACATACGGGTTGCCATCCGTCCTGGTGTACAAGCTGTTTCGGGCCGTCAGCACGGCAGCAGTGTTGTCAAGGCCAAACGCGCCGTTGTAGCCAGAGGGGACGAAGGCCACNNTAGTCCTGATGGCCACTGTTCACTTCCACAATCTTCTCGTGGCCTCCGAGGGTGAAGACCGCTGTAGCCCAGAGCTCACCCGTGCTCAGGTCCAAGACATGCACGGGCAGGCCGATGGGCATGGAGTTTGTTGGGTAGGCGATCCACTCCTCGTTGGTGATGAAAAGATTATCCTCGACACCTTTGCCGTCTCCCCACTGGTGCCTCACCTCCAGGTGTGCGGAGCAAAGGGACTGCATGAGCCAGTCGGCCTTGCTGGGGGCCTTCGCCGTGGAGCCTACGATGTAGTTACCATCTACATCCACATTGCTCTCGTGCACGTTGGAGGTTGTGGCCTGAAGGCCATCACCAGTGCGATTCCGTGGGCCGACGGGCTCCCGCTTCAGGTTGTAGGCCTTGCTCACGGCATTGCCCGCTCCCTTCACCATTCCCTGGGCCTTGGAAGGTGCCCCAGCGTCCATGAAGGTGGCGAGCATGCTGCGGTCGTAGTCGATGTAGTGAATGTGGGACCCTGTGAAGCTGGCACTGTTGCTGTT